CTGACTACTCCTTCCCAGCAAGGATGTGCTCTCTGCTGAGAGAAGGCTTATTCAACAAGGTTGGCAGGACAACAGAGTGCTGACATGTCCATTAAAATCTGTGAGATGTCCTTCCCTCTGCCTGTGCTGCTGGCCTGATCCTTGTGAGCTGTCTTTGTCAGGAGCACCATAGGGACAGGCAAATCAGTGCTGCATATTAAGGAGGATGTCACATAAAGCAAGAGATCTTATGAGGCCATTGCCTATGCACTCTTTTGCTTTCCTTTAAGCATGCAGGTCATGGTCTAGGAATGGTACTCCCCAGTTTAGTGCTCCAACTGAGAATCTCCAAACCATGAGCATCTTGCTGCCTCCTACTTTACTTCCTTCTGGAGTGGGATGGAAAGGAGATTTGGAGGCACAAAAGGTGAAGCTCACATATTGAGATTTATTGGAAACAGCAATGAGATTGGAAAATAAACAGCAACAGTAATAAGGACAGAGGGTACAAGAAAGAGGTGAGCAATTCTCAAGGAAATCCTCTGACAACAGATATAACACCCAACTGCTCCCTCTCCATGCTATGCCAACTGGAAGAGACCCCTTCTCCTTGGAAGAGACTCTGGGTCCTGGCCATACCTGGCCTACCCTCTCCAAGTTACTGCAAATATTAAACCTGTCCTGGCTGGAACAATATGTTGGACTAGGAGAGAGACAGATATTACTAAACCCATACCCAGATAGGAGTGGTGGGAGTAATGAGCAGTAATTTTAGTGTCTGCCACTCTTTCCTAGATGTTTAAGTGAGATGATGGTGTTAGATGCCTCAGTGCCAGGACATACACTTTCCTAAAGAGCTGCAGGCTGCATTTTTCACTTACTTGTGCAGGGTGCCTGCTTCTGTAATCTCTGAATTTTGTGCATGCCAGTGGCATGGAGCTTCCTGGATTCTCTCTGGGGTGCATTAAGGCAGGAGTGCTCTCAGTGGTTACAGCTCAGCATTGATCGCTGTCCCGGAGCCAGCGTGGATGGAAGCAGGTTGAAGAGGGCACTGCTGCCTTGTGGAAGAGTGTGGGTGACATTCTGGCTCTGTGACACCAAGCTTGTCCTGTGAGAAGTGGTCTCCTGCCTTTTTGCACTGTTTTGTAGCATGTTGCCATGCTATTTTTATGCCAAAGACACTCGCTACTACAGGTTTCCCTGCTCACGTTTCCTTCTCCCTGTGTGCTGAAGTGCTGTCACAGAAATGTGTGTGTATTTATGTGTACATGCACCCATATAGGGGTGTGTCATCCTGGCTTGCACAAGAGCTGGATTCCTGTGTACCTCTGTTCTGGTCCTGTGATTTTCCTTTTGCAGCATTACTGCTGGGTGGGATCTTTTTCTCATGTGCATCTGCTGCCCATCCCTTTTCCTGGGGAATTGGGCAGTGATGGTGAGGGTTCAGCATCTTTGGATATAAGGTCAAGAAGGGATTCCTCCTTGGTTGCTGTCATGCTGAAGCTGGTCACATGCTGAAAGCAGTAAGTTTTGCTTTTCACCTTGATTGACTCCAGAGGTCAGTAACTTGGGGCCAGATGATTGCCTGGGACATCACAGGCTGTTCCTGGAGATCGTGGAAAACTTAATTTTACTATTGAAGTATTCCACTGATAGTAGCACAACTTTTTCAGTTAAACAGGATGCTTTTAAAAGCAATGTAGTGCTGTTTCTTTGACTTTTAGGAAGTGCCCGCTGTGCAGGCTCAGTGTTTGTAGAGTAGGTTGGGCTGTACATAAATGCAGGAGGTCAGGTGCTAATGGGATCAGCTGGAGCTGCTTGGGGGTTCCCTGTGGCACTTGGCCTTAAAGCTGGTCTTTAAAAGGTGTTTTGGAAGACCTTGCAGCGAGGGAGAAATGTACCTGTGCTCAGGCAGCACAGGCAGGTGAGCCCAATGTCTATAGTTCAGCTGTAGGTGGGAGTTTCCCAGCAGAACAACGTGTTGGGTCCAGCCAGTCTGCTGACATCAAAATATTTCTGCAAAAATGGGGCTTTATGTTGCAGCTTTCCAGAGCTCTGAGCACTGTGAGGCCTTCTTGGTTCTTCTGCCTGGTCTTGTGTCAGTGCCAGGCTGCGTTGGGAGAGTTCAGAGTAGGAACTTAGCTGCCCTGGGATCTTGGATATTAGGCATACAACCTCTGCTTTTAACTGATGCTTTTAAAAATTTGAGGGTTTTCTTCTTGCATGGGGTGTTTTGCTCTTTTTTTGTTTTGTGTTTTTAAATAATTGTTTTTTTCAGATCATTAGAGAAGGGGAATCTTACAGCTCAACACAACTTAAAGCTGAAGGAATCTAGGCAGATCTTCTGACACCTTTCTTCCATATTAGTATGGAAGGTTTGGTTATTTTAACTTCTCATTGAAGTTATCCCTAAATGTAACCAGATCAGCCATTTAAAGGTCACTGTGGTGCTCTTCAGCGGTGAATTTAAAAACCAGACAAAATCTTCTGGCAAAACCCATTTTCTTCTGAAAGTGCTCTCCATTGCACTTACCCCCCTCGTTTTTACAATGGAATGCACACAACAGTACGCATATTGACTTATGTTTTCAGTCAATATCAAGATTTATTGTCCCCTGAGTTAAATGAATCACAATATTGACCTCATTGTAAGCCAATACTGGCTTAATGTATTTTTTTAGAGTATTTTGTATTCATTTTTAGTAATAGGGCCCATACAGTAGTCTATAATATTCATTTGTATTCTCCTTCTTGCTCTTTCCCCCCCTTTTTTTTTTTATTTCCTTGTCTGTGTCTGTTGATGGCTATCACAGCAGTAGACACTGGATTCATTTAATGAATGAGAAATAAAGATGTCCAATAGCTGGTGTATCTCCATTATAGAGATGGAATGAGTCATTTCCACAATCAGCTTGCCTTTAGCTTGGGCCAGGAAAAACAAGGTGCAGTGCTTCTAGCAGGCACTGGTATATAAAAAATAGCGAAGTGTTTCTGGTATCTTACCACTTCTTTCCTTCTTTTTCTTTCTCTTTTTTTTTTTTTATTTTCTTTTTTTTTTTTTTTTTTTTTTTTTTTTTTTTTTTTTTTTTTTTTTTTTTTTTTTTTTTTTTTTACCTTTTGTTCCTGCATTTAAATTTTCCACAGGAGGGGAAAAACCCAGTATTTCTTTAATATTGAATTCCATTTATCTCCATAAATTGGTTATGGTATACAATCTAAAGGACTCAGCTGTTTTTAAAATAGGTTTATTCCTTTTCCTTTAAGATTATTTCAGATTATTTCCACACAGTATAGGCGAGTTATAAGAAGACTCATTTTGCAGACTTGAGTGAGAGCTGCACATTTGCAGTGCATCATTTCAGATGTGGAATGTTGAACAAAGAAATTAAATTTATATGTATCACCTAAATTATTTCAGATTCATGGTTCAGCAAAGAGTTCAGATCCTAATCAAATATGTAGTTTGCATGGGCACTACACCTTTTCTCAATAATAATATGGCAGTTCTATTTACAATGCTTGACTAGATTTTGTAATAATGCTTTTACTGAAATTTACCTTTTGTTTTCCCGCTGCAGTCTTGGCTGCCCATAAGACATGTGCACTCTTAGAGCAAAGATAATGATTGCAAGCAACTTTTCTTGAGAGAAGGGGAGAGAGAGAGTGAAATCAGGGCTCCTGTCAAATATTCCTGCTTCTCAGACTTTCCCAGTGACTACTAAATGCTACAGTGACTTCCAGTGACTACTGCATGCTGAAATATGGGCAAGTAGATCTGTATTCTGTGTTAAAAGGAACTGTTTGAATGTCAAGGTCATGAGAAATTATCTGAAAAGCTGCTTTGCTAGAATTGCCCCAGCTATCACCTCATCAACATCCACTGCCTCTGCTGCAGCATGAAGGAGAAAAACACCAGTAGAAGATGTAGAGGAGGAGAAAGGGGTGGAACAAGAGGAAAGAGGAATAATACATTATTGGAGCTGAGCCCAGGGTGGGAAGAGCATCCTCCTTTTGTGTGCTGGTCCTGGCCAAGAAAGAAGGAAGCATTGAAATGCCTTTTTTTTTTGGCTCTGGCCTGTGCAACAGTCCATCAATGGACTTTAGGATGTTCTACAATGCAATGCCCTGTAAATTAAGAATGCAGAGGCAAATAACAAGCATTCTTTCCTTCTTTCCCCATTTTGTTTTTGCAGTGGACTGCAGTTACATTTTTTTTTTTTTTTTAATGACAAAGTTTAAATTCCTGCTTTGAAAACAGCATTGTGCCTTTTCTTGGTCCATTACTGAGAATAGGTTTAGGTTGTGCTGTTCAGCTGTTCAGTGATTTCCACTGTTGTTACACACCCGTAAACCTTCTTCATGCCCTGATGGTGGTGGTTGTATTTTTTTTTCAGATCTGTGATTTTGTTTGTTGTTTGGAACATGCACTCTGTGTCCATCTGAAGAGCTGGAAAAAAGGGCAAAATTATTTCCTGATATAGGAGTTTCTTGTTTCTCCACTCCTTGTTAGGAGGAACTGGGAAACCCAGAGAGGAAAACAGTCTCCCCCAAAGCAGTTTTTACATTCCTCTCAGACTTTTATCACTTTAACTTTCTCTTGTTTTTCTGCTTGTCTAAAATTCTTGTTCTGACACTGTTGGTGCTGTAAGATTACTGCTTCTGGGGAATTCTGATGCTGAAAATAGGTGGCTTGAGGACACATGAGAAATGATTATTTGTAAGGCTAACTTCCTGCTGGAAATGTCTTGCCATCTTGCCATTCCAGTGTCTTTTCTGCTTGAAGAGCTCCAGCTCCCTGGGCAGCTACTCTTTCTTTGGCATGCATTCTTATCTGGAAACAAGCAATCCAGAAAACAGCCAAAGGATGGTGTTTTAACCTCTAAATCCTTCCTCTCTTCTGGAAATACAGCTTACTTTCTCCTTGGTTGAATGAGTGAAAACTGAGAAAGGAAGTAGATACAAATGAGATCTGAAGTTCCTCTGTTTCTTTCTAATTTTTTTTTTTTTTTTTTTTTTTTTAGGACAAAACCCACAAATTCAAGGTCCCCAGAAATAAGAAAAGGAGGGAACAGAAGAATTACATAGGAAGGTTAGGAGGAATTGCTTGGAGATGACTGCCCCACCTTATGAGTTGGGGGTGAGTTGCCAGCTGTGTAAATCTTTTTGGCAGAACTTCCTGATTTCAGAGGTTGAAAAGAATTCTTCCTCTCCTTCACAGCTTGAAAACTGCAAGGTGAAAATATAAATACAAGCTTATAATTAGATTAAAAAAATTTCCTTCCGAGTCCTGACATTCCTGAGGCTGCATGAGCAGTAAAGGCTTTCTGGGAAGGAAAGAAAAAACCAAAGTGAGTAAGAAACTCCAATACTCAAGCAGACAGTGAGCTGTGGTGATGCTAACAGAGAAACTGTGAAGAAGCACACAAGAGAGGGCACAGAGAATTTATATTGTGTATCCTAAACCAGAGAGAGTAGATCTCTGTTAGCTGTACATTAATTGGTACAGGAAGGCAATTAGGCACCAAAAAAGGCAAAATGCTGGGCTTGTGAATGCAGTTTTCTGTCCAGAGGTGTGTCTTTGAAAAATCCCTGGCTTGTTCAAACTTTGATGCCATTGATCAGATGTTAGCACCAGGTAATTAAATGATAAAATAGAAAGAGAAGGTCCAATAAAAGCTTTTTTTTTTTTCTTAATGAGGATGAACTTAACATCCTCAGAAGCTGTTTTCAGGCAGAAGAATTACATTTGATTACTGCTCAATAGTGCATTTGCTTATTAATAGAGTGAATGATTTAAAATTAAACAAATGACCATTCAGATATTTATTAGTAGGCATGATAATGCCTGTAGTATAATACAGTGCTTAATTTATTTTGAAAAGTAACTTTCTCATACTTTGTAATACTTCCATGTAGATGTTGCTCTGCTGGGAGAAGAAATAGCAAAAGAAGTAAAGTGGTTACAGTCTCCATCCTATTTATACATTGCCAGCTTGGACAGAGAGAAAATAACCCTTTTAAAAAAAAAATTCTTTTTTTGTACTATACCACCATCCATATATTGGGAGGAAAAAACTGATTTTTAATATTAAGAAGGGATTTGTAGAGAGGAAACTAATAGGAGGCAAACCCAGCCAAAACCATCAGTTCTTCTAGGAGTGGGATTCCTCAGAATAAAAACACTCTGTGGTTTTGGGGATTGCTGAACTGCAGTGAGTTCAAAAAGGCAAATACCAGTGTCTAAGCTTTGGGAGGTTAATGTGCAGTTGATGGCAAGCTGAGAGGGGAGGGGGCCCAGGGTGCTGGCAGTGGTGCAGGGGCATAGAAAGCTCTTTGCAGGGTTGAGATCCTTGGACAGCACTGGCTCATCCCTGTTTTGGAGGGATCATCACTGGCTTTGGGGGTGTGCTGGAAACAAATGCTCAGGCAGCACTGGGGGGAGGTCCTGTGCAGCGGGGCAGGAGTGCAAGGCAGCAGAAATAACCCAGAGTGGAGAGGAAAGCTTCGCAGTGGGCTGAACGGAGCTGTGACACAAGATGTGAGTCTCTTAGAGCAGATCATGCCACGGGAGCTGGGTCATACCAAAAAGCATCATTCTCTCTTCTGCCCTGACCACATTCTCTCTTCTGCCCTGACCACGCCGGGTCCTGGCTCCCCTCGGTGTCTCTGCTGTGATGTTCAGAAGCCCCAGGATGGGCTTTCCCCTCCTGCAGGATGATTCCCCTTTCAGCAAGCACCGGGGAAGGAGTTAAGGATGCGAGTTCAGCCTGAAGCTCGGTTTCCTGGCTTGTGGTGGTTGTTGCCAAAATCTTAATGTTGTTTTAATGCATTTTTGTGTTCATGAATCCATTTTCCAGAGCTGCCGATTGCACACACTAACCCTTTTTATGTGACTAAAAGCCAGCTGTAGTATCCTTGAAGAATCAAATGCTCTCATAGCTCTGGAAATTGCTCTGGGTGTGCATGCATGTTTATTTGTGCGTCAGCTCTTTTAATCTTTCTACTGAAAACCTAATATACTGTAACTGGGACATTTTCAAAAAAGAGAACACTTCAAAACAATTCTAAATATAAATTAAATCCATTTCCAAACGGCTTGTTAAAAAATGCAGATGGTTTATATTTATTATATCATTTTTTTTTGTTTTATCACCTTGCAAAATTTTACAGCATAGAATCTTATTTAACGTGAAGGCATTTTAAGCAGCAATATTAGACAGCTGTATGTGCGTCATACTAAGAGATTTTTACAGGATATTAAAGTTGGTTCTGATGTAACCTGGTGTTTTGAGCTGCATAGATTAGGCATTTTCCAATTTTGTAATTTTTTTAAGTAGGTGCGCTATTTTTTTTTTTTGCCCCTCCCAAAATAGACTTTTAGTTCTTGATTCCAATTGTTCTCAAGGTGTAAGGAATTCCAGGCCAGAGTGATTGAGAAACTGCTCTCTGAGCTTATATGGATAACAAAGAGTGGCCCAGATATTATCTCAGCTGAAATTAGGGGTAATTATACTCTATAGCAAATTATATACATAGTTAAAATAAATAACAAAGCACAGTGTTCATACTCTGGTGATTAATTCTTTCCCCCCCAAGTTCTGTTTGCCTTTACAATTTTTCCATTGCAATCAACATGAGAGTATTGCTGGGTAGCAGCAGCACCTGAATAAGTGCCAGCCTGATTTGTTGTTTTTTTTTCCTTCTCAGCCTCCAACAGGCACAAGCAGGTTTAATGTTAACTTGACTCAACTCCAGCTCCTCTGCTGGTTCTCACACCCTCCAGGTCAGAGCTAAATCCCCTATTAATTAAACAGAAATTATATCCGAAATAAATCACTTGGCGCAAGAAACCCACGGTGGAATTTTTTGAAAGATGTTTGCAATAATTAAACATTCTGTGACTGGTGACATTTTAAATAACTCTTAAAATACCAACCTGTGTTGATATTTAAAATAGGCTCTTCATTGAAAAGGCAGTGATCCCATTGAGCAAATAAGATAAACCACATCATTGTATAAGAAGAGGAAAAAAACAATCATTCAACAGCAGCAAAACCTACCAAATGTTTTCACACGGTAAGAGTCTTAAAAGTGCTTGGAAGACACAGGTTGGGGGTGATTCTGTCAATGCTTGTGAAGGGAGAGCTGATAAACCTTCAGTATCTGTGGTTTTTGAAGGGTGTGGGGTGAATTTCCTGGCTCACGGGCACCGCTATAGGAACAGAAGGGGTCAGGGATTTTGGCTGGTCTTTTAGGGTTTTGCTATCTGTGCATCCTCCTGCACTGCACCTTTCCTCCTGACCTGGCAATTTCAGGGGCATTTTGTGCAATCAAGCAGAAGCCCAAGTATTTCGTCAGTGTCCCCAGGCAATGTGCCACTCGGCTGATGGGAGCTCACAGCCCTGCTGCTGCACACTTGCACGGGCTTGCCTCGCCCTGTGCCCACTGGCTTTGGAAAACACACAAACAAAAGAATACCTCACCACCCCCAAAAGAAATCCCACAATGGTTCCCTTCTCCCAGAGCATGTGGGGAAAACAAATAGTGAGTCTGGGAGAGAGGAGGTGGGGGAATGGTGATGCAGGAGGAGAAGACATTGTGTGCCTCGGTGGTGGCTTGAAGGTCTTTTTGGCCAGTTGAAACCCTTCTGTGCAATGCTTCTTGCAGGCTGGAGAGGGGGAGAGCTTTGGGTGCCTTGCTGAGTTGGGGATCAGTGTAGGCAAACTGGGTTTTGTGCTCGTGGCCTGAGTGACCGTGGCAGAGGAGAGCGGCCATGCCCTCTGCCCTGGGAAGGCAGCAGGGAGTTTGTCCAGAGCTGGGCAGACCTAGGGACCTCTCCAGGCCTGTCCTTCCCTGCCCTGCTCTCTGTGACGTCCTGCAGTCTTAGAGCAGGCTGGGCTGACTTGACGTTAAGTGCAAAACCAGGATGGGGATAAGAACAGTCTTCCCGTGGGAAGTGCAGGCATCTCACACTGGAATACTGCTATACTTTGATTAAAGCTAGAAGAATTGTATGTATACAGTGACTGAAGGCTGTGACACAGTAGAGCTGTCCTCTAATTTCCTCAAGATGTCTCGTGTCTGGCCTCTTTTCCAATCAAATTGTCACTGCTGCATATTCTCTTAGCTGCCTATTGCTCTCCATCTAGGTGGACCATGCCCTTCAGCTGTAATCTCTGCAGCCTAGCCTACTTTCTCAAGGAAAAGTCAGGAAATCCTGTTTGTCTTGGTTTAGTATTTTTTTAACTGCATTTTACATTCCACCTGGATTTTATAGCAGGTAATTTTAGTGAGAGGCACGGGAACCAAGAGACTTGGCATGTCTTTACTTGAGGAAAAATTGTATTTCCTACTGCTGCAGCAGTCTGGCTCCATGTCTGGAGCTTCCTTGTGTTTTGCTGGAGCTTCTCCCCTGGCTGCTTGCAGGGAGTGCAGCTGAGGAGGTGCATGGCCAAGGAACCCAGGCAGCATGGTGCTCATTTGAGACAGCTGGGTGGCAGCTCAGACCAGTGCCTTGTACCTGCAGGTTGGATTTATGAGCCTTTGGGAAAACACAGCTATTCTACTACCAAAACCATGGCATTGCCAGTCTAATCCTGTTTTCTCCTTGAAGGATTAGTTTCTAAGACTGGGACAAATCTTTCTGGGGGAAGAAGAGGAGGAGTAAGCAAACACAACTCTCATTTGGAACAAGAATTAAGAAGATGAAACGTGAAGAAATGCTGACTTGGACTGATCTAATCGCTAAACTGTAGTTCAGGGGTGTGAGCTCTGAAGCCGAGGCTGGGACTCCAGAAAACACCTGGACAGGTAAAATGCAATAGTTCCTCTCTGTGCTGGTCAGTGCACGTCCTCCTCCTGGTTTAAGGCCTGCAGGTCTGGCAGTCGATGTCTTGTGACTGATGTTACCATGGTGCTCCAAGGCTGTGGCACCTCTGCTCCCAGCCTCTTATGGTCTGGGAGGGTTTTCAGGGTGCCACCTCTGCCACCCGTGCAGAAACCCAGTCGTGATGCTCCTCCTGCCAGGGAAGGTGGGCTGGGGCAAGTCTGCACCTCCCAAAGCGGTTTCTGACTATGGAACAATTGGTACGGGCAGATATAAATGACCTCTTGTCCCAGATGCTTTTAGATGGGGTTGAGAGCTGAGTGACAGCACGGTGGTTTATTACACATCGTTATTAATTACTCGGGAAGCACTGGCTTGGCTTGTGCTGTGAGCCTGTGGTGGCGGGGCTGGAACCTGTGGAACCGGGGCTCGAACCGGGGCTGGAACCCGCGGAAGCGGGGCTCGAACCCGCGGAAGCGGGGCTCGAACCGGCTGAACCGGGGCTCGAACCGGGGCTGGAACCCGCGGAAGCGGGGCTCGAACCGGCTGAACCGGGGCTCGAACCGGGGCTGGAACCCGCGGAAGCGGGGCTCGAACCNCTCGAACCGGGGCTGGAACCCGCGGAAGCGGGGCTCGAACCGGCTGAACCGGGGCTCGAACCGGGGCTGGAACCCGCGGAAGCGGGGCTCGAACCCGCGGCCCCGCTGCTCCGGCGGCCGGCAGAGGGCGCCGGGCCCCCAGGCACGGGGGCAGCGCGGCGGGGCTGCCCCGCGGCCGGGAGCGGAGCCACGCCGCCTCCTTCCCTCCCCGCGCCCCCTTTTTTCCGCCGCAGAAAAAGGGGTGTGTGTGTGTGTGTTGGGGGATAATAAAATAAAGTTTAGGAAAAACTAGAAAAAAAAAAAAATAAATCCCAGTTTTAGTCAGGCTAAACTTCTTCCCCCGTGGAAGCGTCGCCCCCCGCCACGAGGAGCGGTGCGGGGATGGGGATGCAGCGCTGCCCGCGTGTGCACAAACCCATCCTCGCTGATGTTCTCCACGAGCCCGCGCAGGCAGCGCTCGCCATCCTATGCATTCCTTGGACCAGGTTTTTGGCACGTTGGGGCGCTTTAAACCTGAGCGGATTCATGTACAAATCAATTCGGAATTGGGAAACCATCACTTCCCTTATGTATACATCTCTCCTGCCTCACCAGTTTTCCAGCTGGGAAGGCTGGCAGGCAGACGGCTTCGGAGGTGGCTGCCAATGCTGATTCATGAGCCGACCCACAAAGGATGTTAATATGGTACCACAGGAACATTTTTGCCTCAAAGACAATGAATGTGTAGTTTCTGTGATGCAAGTGGAGGTCAGTCAGTCTGATGCTCCTCTGTTGCCAGTAAGTTGTACAATAAGTTTATAAGTGTAGTTGTTGGACAGAGCCAAAACCTCAGAACTGCTTGCAGAGCCAGTTTTTTACCCCATTTGGTTTACTGTGAACCCCTGGTTCTTGGCCAGCTATAGTCATACTATAAATTAATTTTATTCTGCCATTTTAGAAGGCACTGTAAGGTTTAAGAATATTTTTTTCCAGTTGTCACGTTTCTAAATATGCTGTCTTTTATTTTTGCCATATTCAATGCCAAAAAGCACAGCTTAGGAATGTAGTAGGAACATAGGAATTGCCACAACGGTCCATCTTGTCAGTCTCCTGTCTCTGTCGGCTGCTGGTGCCAGATGCAAATTCTTGAAGGAACTACGTAAAAGTTCTCCTAAAATAAAAAATACTGAGGTGTGGCAGGAGGGTAGGAAAATAAAAGTTGCAGGAGAGACTGGGCAGAAAGCCTTTTTATTTCTTTTATTTATTCATTCAATCTACTTAGAGATTTGTTTTACAGGACTTAAGGCTGATTTTCATTTTTCCTTCTTTTGCTTACTAGCCCTCAACTGCGCCACATATGAGAGGCAGCAAAAGCAGAGCAGGGAGCTTCTTACTTTCTGTTTCAGGAGAAGGGAGCTCACTTTCTGTGTTGGGAGGGGACGCAAAAGGCTTCAAAAGTTGCCAATGATTTGTCAAAGACCATCGGAAGATGCAGCAAATCATTTAGCAGAGGCGACAGCGAGGATGCCTCGTGCAGCACAGTGCCGGGAAGCAGGATATGCTGAATATATTTACAGCAAGTTCATCTAGCCTGTCTAATGGCTAGTTGCTGTTTGAAGTGCTTGCATGAAAGCACAGCACCGTGTGAGTGCTAGAAAATTCAATGGTACAAGGGAGTTATTTAGCTTATGCCCTTGAGATTAATCACAGCTCGGTAACTTAACTCCAGAGCAATCTCTTCTGCTCTAATGGGACTTACTCAGATAGCAGCTGAGAAGCCAAGGGCTGGGCTCTTTGCAAAAATCCCAATGTCAGATATTTTTGATGTGGAGTGGAATCCCCAGTTTGCAGGCAGCAGAGCAGCAGGATCTGCTCCCCACCTCCGTCCATGCTCTGGAAAACGCTGTTCCATGTCACCCCCGGGAGCCTGCCGGCCTTCAGTGGTGACAAGGGACAGAGCTGGAGCAGGGACAGGTCTCGGGGACACTGCTGGGATGTGTGAGCACTCCCGCTGATGTCTGTGGAATCATTTTCCAGGCTGCAGATCGGAGTGAGCTATCCCCCAGGTGCTGGGTGTCGAGGACTGTGAGCTGATCTTTTAGTGGGTTCATTAATTGGGTGAAGGGGGCTCTTACGGCCTTTCCCGATGCTCTCGTTTGCCCGGAGCTTGCTGGAGACTTCAGACCAGCATTCCGTGGCAAAGAATACAGCAAATGCAGTGGATTAGAAGAGGCTTGTGTATAAAAGTTACTAACCCTACGATGGATTGTATTCATAAAGGATTTTAGGGATCAACATATTCCTCGCTTGAGAATCTTTCCATCCTCGCTGATAAGTGTGCTGGATGAAGGACATCATTAATTTAAATGAATGTCTTGTGCTTATGTCTGAGGCTTTTCCTCGTTCACTGGCAAGGAAAAGAAATGCTTTTTTCTTCTCTTTATTGCAACTCTGTGTGGCGTGGTCCACCAACATACAAGGAGAGGTTTGTTTTTTTTTTTCCATACACATGTACCCCCAAAATGTCGCCCGAAATGATCAAGAGGAGAAAAAATAAAAAGGACATTCCACACACATAAAATATGTAATTAAAATGATGAATTATTGTAAGATAGAATATTAGCCTTTTGACATTTTAATCTGAGCAGGAGAGAGTGAGAGAGTGCATTTGGAGCCGCTCAATTAAATTTAGAATTTTTTCCCCTCCATTGTTATGAATAAATAGAAAGATTCTGTAGCAGTCTGCGGAATTATTAATTGCAAGTACTGTAGAAGGTGCATGCACCGTATCATGAAATGGAGTATCATTGTTAGTGACTATATTTCTTGGTAATTAAGGCCCAGACTAATGATGCAAGTTTTCTTCAGCATGATTTTCATCTGATTATGAGGCTGCTTCATTAAGAGCACTCAGACTAACGAGCTGTAGCTGTAATAAAGTAATTTTCTGTCTTGTGCTCTGATTGATAAAGAGTTTCTATAGCTAAAAGGAATTGAAAATATAATTATAATTAGAAATGGTTGAATAAAGTTATTACAGGATTGCTGAAGGGTAGTGCAATTGACACCATAATGTTTTTTGGAAGTGTGCATCTTAAAATTAGACTTTATAAAAGGAAGGGGGAAAAAAAAACAACCCACAACCCCAAACCCTCTGTGCTAATAAATGGGCAGAATGTTGCTGCCTCCATAAAATGGACTGTTAGATTAAAGTAAAATGAGGTTTTCCCACATTGTTCAGAACAAGAAAAACATATGCAGGAAGAATGCTGTTGCCTTTCTTCCCAGCATTCCTCTTAAGTGAAGTAAAGCTTATGAAAGTGCTTTTTACTCCATTTATAAAAATTTTCATGCTGCCATATGTTGCAAAAAAGATCTTTTTGATTAAGCTGATGTGTTTTGAAGCATACGGCATAATTTCGGTGTTTCCCTTTAAAAAACGTGCAAAGAGTTATGTGAGTCTTTTCTGTGTATTAGCATACAGTAACTAGTGGCTTTTTAATACATGTTTTTGAACAGAGAAGTTTTCCTTTCTTTCTGTCTTTTTAAAATCTCCTTGCATTGGCCAATATCAAAATATAACTGGGTCAAATACGAGGCCTTTCTTTTTTTTCCTCTGGGGGAAGCAAATCAACTTTTTATCTCAGAAACCTTATTCTTTTTTATGATGTTCATATTATAAACAGCACAAACTCTGTTAGAGCAATCCTTTGTGCGTATGTCATAGGATATATATGCTGTATTGATAGAAAAAACTATAATAAGGGTTTTATTTAGAATTAGCTGGTGCACTTCCGTACTCAGAAGTTGTTTGACTTATTTAATTTGGAGGCTTTCTGTATTCTATATCTCCCTCTTTGGAAGTCATGCATATATTTTAAGGCTACAGTTATGCACATTTGGTTATGTAAATCTGTCCTATGCAGACTCCAAGGAACTTTATTGTATTGGATTGAAACAAACAGTAGATCATCTAGAGGTATATTTATGCTAATTAACTTAAAGCCAGCATTTTGCATTGATTGCTCAGTCATAATGCTTTTTGGAAGATTTTTAGAATTTTTGAAAATCATTCTTAACACATTATATGGTGATAAAAGTGTGTTATTGGAATACCATTAGCAGGAATAAAAAAAGAGCAGAATTTTATTGGTTGTTCATTGAAAATGTTAGCTGTGATTAGTTACATAATCCTACATTAACCTGTAAATTAAAATTCCTTGGTGCAATTTGATGGCTGATTTAATTTTGTCTTTCTTTGTTTGCCGCAGGCTAATTCCATTATGAATTCTTTATACAGCCTTTTCCCTCAATGATTAGCAGCTTCTACTCAAGTTCTGATTACTATTGTACACTTAGCACTACATAAAGCTGGGGATTAATATTCCCCTGAAGAATTGTTGCTATGGATCTGCTCTATTCCTTCTAAGAGATGTTTCTGCAGCTTCAATTGTCCATAAATTATGATCTCTAGTGAATTATCAGTGGGAGTGAACTAAGCTTAACAAGCTGAAGAGAGCACTCTAGTTCTGAAAGAAAAAGGGAGAGAGAGATAAAAAGATTCTCAATTATTAATTGCAAGGTTTCCATAATACAGAAGTGGTGATACTTTCCCTATCTTCATTCCTGTGAGCATGTAAGAAATCAGGGTGAGTCAGAAATACTGAAGTCCTAACCCCCTCCAGCACTTAAAGATAAATCCTACAGGAGGATCTTAATTATGTGGAGGTGGAGGTGGAAAAACCAGCCCTGTCATCCTGGGGTTTTAGTTTGTATTTTGGCTCTTCTCAATTCTGTTTCACCATCTCTGTCCTCCTGGTATAGTTTTCGTTCTGTCGATAGCACTATCAGTAGCCTGGTTCAACTACCTTTAAAATAAAGTCAGGATTATTAGGAGATTTAATTGCAGATGTCTGAGGAGCTTTCATATTTGGAGAGGTTTTCTTAAGAGACAGATATTCCATTTCAAGTTTCCATTTCAAGCACTTTGCTATGCTCCCATCTGTTCCCCTTTGTTGGGGCTTTAAAGTCATATTTCTCCTACTGATTCGTGGCTGTTTTCCTTCTCCTCCCCAGAAAAATCTGTCTTGAGGGCTGCACTGCAGCATTGTTCTTTCTTGTTGGGTATGTTTGATTTTCCTAATTGAGGTGATCGTGTCCTTCTGCCTTCCAGCCCCAGCCAAGCTCCAACTTTAGGCTGCAGGTTGTTGTGGTTAAAGTGTGCATAAAAGTGCAGCAGTGTGCCTCATTTCCAGGGAGGTCCTGGGAGGGGCACAAAGCTCTGAGCTGCCATGCTCCTCCTCCCAAGGTCAGGGAGGCATCACCTGGCATCACTGCCCAGCAGAAGCAGAGCTGCCTTGCCTGTACTCAGAGCACTAGATCAGAACATCTTTGGCTATTCCATGCCAAATCTCCAGGTCAGTTAGACTGACTGTGTGTTTTAGGTTGTCTTGAAACCTATAGCCATTTTTAAAACTTTATGCTAAAAGCACTGTTGGATTGCATCTTCTAAGCTACCTCATGCATTGTGTTATATTATCTGTAGTGGTAAATGATATTTAGTTGCACAAAATGTTAGAGGGGCTCTGTAACTCTAGAAATTCCTGTACTTTCTTGAGGCCAGTCTGATAACCTCCCCTAGCCCGATAGAATAGATAAGGTGCTGGAGCTAACAGTGTTTCAGATTTATTCTAAGAGTAAAAAACCAACTTTTAACATGTGACTAATAGAAGGTGTTTTTCATATCCCTTTTCAAAGCTCCACTTGATAATATTCAGCAAAATCTGTGTATGTTTTAAATTAAAACCAGCAGCTGAGTCCAACTGGTGTTTTGTGCATGGAGCTAGTGACAGAAAGAACAAGGGTGACTTAGCTGGGTTACTGCATCTGAATTCTCTGGTCTGCTTAATCCACTTTGTGCTGCCTACTGAAAGTGCTGGAGATGCCCATCAAATAATTCACTGTGGAACCACACTGTTACCTCTCAGCCTGTAGCAGAACCACCAGGATTTGGTGTACTCAGAGGAGTTTGGACTATCCCCAAATGCTAGAGCTGTGACTAGGAACATTGAGGAGTAGTTAGGGTGGTCCCTGCAGAAGGACAAGATTCTTGATTTTTAAAAATTTTTGTTTCTTTCTCACCTGTGTGTTCTCTGCTGTTCTCAAAAACTCATTGTAATGGACAATTTGACCTTATAGTTTCTGTTCTGTCATGTTGAAACTCACAGACTCTTCAGAAGCTGTTCTTCTTCCCAAACCACTTTCTTGTCTTCATATCCTCCTTTTTCAGTGCCACCCTAAATTTAGTAGAGAGCTGTTGAAATTTTACCCCCTTTGCTAGGATTTTGACCTGCCTAGTGTTATTTGGGTGTTTTGGAGCTCTGTTGTGAAAATGTCTTGCATACTTGCCTCCTGTGCTCCCTTCATGATTTTAGGTTGGCTATGTCTCCTTTAGATAGCTATTTTCCACCCTGAAGATTGCTATTTTCCTACTCTGAGTGTCTCTTCCTGTAGTCAGGAGCTGGTTTTCCTTCTTTGCTCCTTCCCCATTCTGCTGGACTCTTTTCCAGGTCTGGCAACCAGAATTCTCTGCAATTCTCCAGACATGGATGTGTTGGAAGTTTTTCATAATCACATTTTCTTGAGTTTATTGGCATTTTATTGTCCAGTCACCTAGTGCTGAGCAAGTCCTCATGGGCTTTGGGTGGGGTAGTCCTAATATTTATCCTCCTGTGCAGACAATGATATCTCTGTTAATCCTTCTACACTGACAGTGAAGGCAAAAAAATGATTGTAAAAAGTTCCTTTATGTGAGTGTTTGTCACTCCTGTTAATTGATGCTAAGGTTGTCCTAGTAAGGGTCTTAGCTTAAGCCTCAGGCACAAACTTGTGAGTTACTTACTGACGTCAGTGCCATACTAGGCTGTGGTGGCCATTACTTCTTTTCTTTTCCTTTAATTTGGCAATGGAAATCATAATTCTGCTGATTTCTCTGTTTTCCAGCTGAGATCCTAGTTCTAGGTTCATCTCCAGCGTTCACTTTACACAACAAGGAAATAAAATACCAAGGAAATGAAGCAGTAATTGCTTCTGCTCATTTTTGGGGTTGGGTGTAGCTGTGACTGAAGCTGGCTTTGCTTCAGTATGAATTCAGTAAGATTTTTACTATGATCTAGATCCACAGAATAGATAAAATCTTGATCTGAGCTTCTTTTCAGTTCAAGTTTATTTCTCCAGCAGGGATAAACCTTTTAAGTTCTCTGCTTGATCACTCCAGCCATCTCCATTTGAGTGCCTGATGTCTCTCCAATGTTATTACTGCCTCTCTCCTCTCCCTGAAGTGCTGGCTTCTCTCTCTCTCTGCTCTGCTGTATTCAACTGGATTAAAAGTGGTGAGAGAGGGCAGCAGAGATCCTTTTTAATAGTGTATCTGCCTCAGCTGTGAAAAGAGCTCCTAGAGCACAGAGGAGTTTGTAGCAGCCTGGTGCAGGGCCGAGGATGATGCCAGTGGAATTCCAAGGCAGGAAGCACAAGGCAGAGATGCTCATGTGTACCTGTGAAGCCAAGGCAGCACAAACTCCATCAGTCCTGAATAAAGGAAAGGCCTCAGAACTGTACTGCTGATCGAGCAAATGGGATGCAGCCCCACAATGATAAAAACATTCAGGTCTGAATGTGTGTATCTATTCCACAGGTATGCCAAGCCAAACTGAGCACTGGAAATGACCTTCAGTGATCTTTTCCAACGCCAAAGGTGCTCTGAATGTGAAGGTAAGGATAACCTAAAAGAGGGGGAAATATGAGTAATGTTGGAGAGAAAGCAATGAATTCCCTTGACTCATTTCCGGGGGTTTCTCCTCCAATTCCATGGAATACAGAATCCATTAAAAATTGGGTTGGAAGGTGTCCCTTGTGTGTGTATGGAGTTACAGCAATCTGGGTGGAATGGTTGGATGCTTTCCTGTGGCATGTTTGCCCAGCCCATTCTGATGGAGGTTTTGCAGCTGCTCTTTCTTTTGTGGCAGCTCTTTGTGGTGCCTTGTGGCGTTTGCTGGAGCCCTTACCTTTAGCAGATGTGTCTTGAACCTCCCAGAAACTTTATCCCATTGCTGCTCAGCTCCATCCACTCTTGCAGAGGATGCAGTGAAGCCCCACTGACACTGCAGAGAGCAGGGGAGTTGTTCTGTGTGTTTTTGCAGGCTGCAGAGCCTGTTTATCTCTTTTGTCTTCTACTTTTCTCCCCAGCAGACCCATGTTGACTCTGATCCAATAACCCCTAAATATGTTTTGGAGAGCTGCTCTTTAGCCACGTGCTTCCTCTGTTTGAGCAGTTAAAACTCCAACATTACTTTTCACTGGTCCTGGTTTTATATTGACCTATTTTTTCTGTCTGTTCCTGTGATTTATCCAAAGCATTTGAACCCTCTTCGTTCAGCTCTCTGCTACTGTGAAATGTGCTAAACTTTGTACAAATGAATTTTTGCCCTTCCTTGATTTTAAACTGGGCTCTTAAACCATAATTATTTTTCTTATACCATGAACAGCTGACATACATTGTTCTGTAGGTCCCACTGTCCGTGTAACCTTAAAGGAAAACTTTTGCTCCTTTGTTGGTGGCTTTTCCTCTTCCTGCAGGAAATAAACCTGGAATTTCAGGGCCAGAGGACAATTTTTCACATTTAATCTGTCTTGCCTAATTTGCTGTTTTATTTGTTTCTAAGTCAGATCATAATGACACTGTGGCATTTTTAATTAAGAGTGTATCTTCCTGTCAGAAAATTCATATGACAGAGAAAAGTGACTCCCTAGAAAATTTCATCCACAGCCTTGACCGTCTTTCTCAGATGTTTTTGAGTTTAGAGATTTACTTCACTCACCTCCACTCCCCTCCTGCCCTCCTTTCTAGCAATGTCAATACTTTCTGAGAGATTTGCATGGCACAGGTGCTCCTTGCAAGCTCCTGGTTGAACACTGAGAAATATTTAAGTGATATGGCACAAGAGCCAGTGCATTTTGGAGGAGTCATTGCACATCTCAGTTAGAAGTTAAGGACAGCAGGCCCCAAACATCTCCCTTCCCAAGTAGGGCACAGACTTGCTGTGCTGAAGAACAGTAATAGAGACAAGAAAATGAGAGGATACAGGCAGCCCAGACAAGATTTACAGTGTTGTAGAAATAAATACACTGCCAACAGCTTGTCACATGCTCCATTCACGCATTTACTGAACTCTGCAGAAATAGATGTGTTTAATCAAAGAACTGGAACTTTTTAAGATCTGTTGGCAAGTGCACCTCTGCCAGATTTGTTTTCTGGACATAAAGCTGTGTCTGTAGCAGGGTGGAAAATATTCCTTGAATCAAAGATTTACAGCAAGGATGAATTTACCAGTCAGGTAGATATTACACCACATCTTCACATGCATAATCCAAAGCTTATCTGTCTGAAAATGAAACTTCTAAAATTTGTTTCTGAAATTTTGTGGACCTTACCTATTTGGCATAGAGATGTTTAGTCCTAATGTATGTCTTTAACCAAAAAGTAAGAAATTATTTTTGTGGAATAGTGCTTTTAAATGAGAGTGGATAATTTGGAGTGCATGAAGATAATTCTCGTTATTGCCTTTCCTTTATTTTTATATTCAATATTTCCCACACCTCTCTGCAGCAGCTCTGATGAACAAAGACCTAAATTCTGATTGCTGTGGACTTGGTGCTAACTTTCCATGATGAAAATAGGCTCAGGTCCAAAAGTTCTATGCAAATATTTGCAATTCCTGTTAACCTCAGCAGTGTGTAGCACACATTAAAATTACTTCTGGAACCTTCACCATCTGAAAAGGAGGGTGTAGCCAGGCAGAGGTTGGGCTCTTCTCCCAGGCAACCAGTGACAGTGACAGTCTCAAGCTGCTTCAAGGTGGGGTTCAAGATGAACATCAGGAGAAATTTCTTCATAAGAAAGGGTTTTTAAACATTGGAATGGGCTGCCCAGGGAATTCGTGGGATCACTGCCCCTGGAGGTGTCAAGAAATGACTGTACGTGACAGTGCCGTGGTGTAGTTGACAAGGTGGTGATCAGAGGTTGGACTTAATGATCTCGGAGATCTTTTCCAACCTAAATGCCTCTGTGGTTCTGTGTAATGGCTCCTTATTAAATGCTAATATCCTCTGATCCTTTTTACTGGGTATTGTTCACCATCTATTAACTTTCTCCAGTTTTAAGCTTTCTGTCCCTGTATTTTCATATTTAAAGATAAATGAAGTAGCGATAAGAATCTCCACAGACAGACTGACAAAATGAAAACCACTGTACTTCTTCATACCAAGGGTTCAGCAAATCCAGCATCCTATTCCTGTTGATAGCTGTAAATGAATGCTTGGAGAAGAATAATTGTGGAAGTGTTAAAATTAGTGTGTCCTTACCAATACTCTCCTAATCCTCTAGTAGTGTCCAATCTAGGCACTTCCTGAGCAATATGTGGTATGTACACAAGAAGTTTTCATCTTAAACCACTGAAAATATCATTTAGTTCCACCATCCTTTGCTAAGGAATTCTCCAGGTGGCTCTTCATTCAAGAGAGGGATTAGACCTCCTTTAGTGTGTTTTGAATTTCGCTTCCACAAGCTTTATTTGATGATTCTTTGCTCTAGTATTGGAAGATTGTGGCATCTTGAGATTACATGTAGTTGTTTATCTTCTATCACACCCCAAATAATTTATTGTGCCAGACTGAAGTGTCACAGCCTGTTTTGTTCTGCACAGAAATATTGTTCAATGTGCAAGTGTGTGTGGATGAAACCTAACTTTCTGCCTGCAGAAGAGGGCAGATGACTGAGCTGTGTATGAAGGCTGTCACAAAGGAGGTGGCTGAATCCAAGTTTCATTAATTCCCCATTTCATGCATGTTCACTCCAAGCAACTAATTTCTGGAATTAGTGACGTGTTTCTTGTTCTTTCCCTCAGCATCATCATAGGGTTTGTTGTTGACCAGTTCTCCTGCAGAGAAGTTGAATATTTTGTTTCTGTTGTGTTCCTGCTCTGAGCTGGCATAGAGGAATGAATTGTGGACAGTCAACTCTTGGGCTGATATAAATCAGCACAGCCCTGTTGATTTCAGAAAAGCAGTACATCTGGGTTAGCCAGGTCTTTTGATGTGTATGGGAACCTCTTAGTTTCCTATCATAAAAGTGGTTAAGTGTGTGCCTGACTTCAAGAATCCTCCAAAGAACGGTGCTGAAAAGGAGTTGATGCAATAAACCTTCTCCATGACACTATATTCCTCCTCTGATGTTTCAGTACATGCAGTAGTCAAAATGTTTGCACATGGGTTATTATTATTATAACCCCCAGTGAACTTGTCTCCCCAGCAGGAGCTCAGATATACAAGATAAAGTTAATTGGGCTCCCTTTCAAATGGAGAATTTAGACCTCCTTCCAGCTTTTCAGGTAAAGGAACGTGTTTTGGACTGTTGTTATCTCTCCCTTCTCCCTTGAGCTATGCTAATTCAAATCCTGTAAGCTGATAAACATTATTCCAACATTGGTAACACTTGTATAAACTCCAGTGCCGTTCCCTTTTTAACACCTCCCACTTCCTTGCGTCCGTGTAAATTCTTTGCCCCAGCATGGTGCACAAAGGTCCGATACGGATCGTGTAACACACCCAATACAATGAACGCTTTCTTTCCATCCTTGCTGGACTCTGGAACTCTTTTGCTTTCCTTCTGTTCAGCGCTGAAACCCAGGCCAGCTTGCCAGTGATTTATTGGGTATTCAGGGTTTCCAGTGATTTACATTTTCCATCTTCCCTTGAAGGCATTCGTGCTGCTTCAGGAGGATGTGGTGTTTGGCTTTAATGTGAAATATTCTTTGCAATGGTTTTGCTTCTGAATTCAATAGTCTCACCTTCTTTGTAGGAGTTTTAAAAGCAGTACTACTAGCTGGATTTGGGCTTGAGAAAGAATAAAAGGAAAGTTCCTATTTGCAAGCATATAAAAAACATTATGGTTTTGGTTTGGTTTTTCTTTGCTCTGGAAAGAGAGGAAGAAGTCTTGGTTTGACAAACACCAATGAATTCATCTGGAGTATAAAATTAAGTCCATCTTTTCAGAGGTATTCTTCTTTCTCCTCTGCTCAAGGTCTAGGCAACAAGTAGAACTCTTCCTTTCCATACATAATCATTAGTGAAGGCTCAGCCTTTCTATTTGGGACCGTTTCTGGGAATATTTATGAGGAGATTGCATCCTTAGTTAAAAAGTAAGATTAGACCATTCCTTTCTCTCCCCCTGCCCCCTGTTAATTTCCAGGATAGTTGAATGAGAGTTGCCATTTAGCCTTTGGTTCAGGGAACCTGAAGATACTTGTTTTAAGGGATTCACTAGCAGCTTCTGAGTTTTGTCCTTCATCTGATGCTTCAGGCAGTGAGCTGCCACAAGTAAACTCCGCACCCTAAAAAGTACTAACTTCCTAAGAACATAAATTAGAGCTTCCTGCTGCAGCAATTAAAATAATTTCAGTTTTCCAGGTAGCTGTGTGTGAACAGGACACAGCTCCCCTTTTTCTGGAAGGTCCAGCTGACCCCAGCATTTTTATCTGTTGGGGAAATAAGCGGGGCTGTGGGATGTACGACAGGCTGTGCTTCCCTTTCCCATGCCTACTGCATGCACAATTGGATTTATTAATGATTTATTCATCCCCTGAGAGCAGAGGAGACCAAAGTGGCAGCTACAGCATAAGGTTTGGACCCTTCCAAGATGCTGGCAGCCTCATGGA